GCCTTCTGAATCATTTCTCACCCTTACAAAGAGTCGAGATAACTTGGAGCATTTGAGTGTGGCTTTGGGATTGCTCTGAATCGTCTCAAGTTAAAATCAGTTAGATATTAATAGATTTCTTCATTCTCTCAACAGCACTTGGGTTTTCATCAGTAAAATAATTATAGTTAAGTGCTGTATACGGTTGTTGTGGAGATAATTTGAGGTTAAGGGTGCAAGTGGGAGGAAAGAGGCAGGCAAGGATTTCTGGAGACACATTTCATCCATATCAATCACTAATAATGTTATTTTGTATTTATACAGAACTTCTTCTAAGTGCTCAAACAACTTGGCCACATTTGCACATCACTTCTGGCACTTAATGGGCATTACCACTCATGGGCATTACCACTCATGGGCATCACCGCTTGCTAAACTAGGACTCCTGGTTTAATAGACAACGCGCATGAGCTGCCACTGCATGTCACTCACTTGCTCCTGCTTCGCCTCTCCCATTTGTGCAACTGGACATCTAGACATGGAAATGTTACTGTTATGGCCAAACCCAAGATTGTGCTTCAGTGCTCCTAAATAAGCCATGATTATAAACCAACTTGAGCTGGGATTTGTTCTTGGCTTCTGAATAGTGACTTGTCTGGGCACATTAACTGTAATTTGCTCTCATGCTAAGCAGCCTTCCCCAACCTGTTGCACTCCAGATGTTTGGACTTCAACTTTCATGATCCCCAGCCAGCATAGCCAAAAATCAGGAATCCTGGGACTGGTAATCTCAAACATCTCAAATATTTGGAGGGTACCAGGTTGGAGAAGTCTGTGCCATTTGTGCCTATTCATCCACTCATATGCACAGCAAACAGGCTATAATAAGCCAGGATTAATAAACCAGGATCAAACCAGGATTCCTGTGAGCACATTCTTTATCATCAACTGTTTTTCCCTCCAATAAGCAGCTAACAACACTTGGTCAATAAAACTCCAAAGAGGAAAACTCTCTTCCCTCCCCGTCTCTCTCTGGTGTGAAAAGCTTTAACATTTGAATTTATGGGAGGATTGCAGCTGCAAAAAGAGAATTTTGCCTTCAACTAGCAAACATCAGTTATATTTCTTCAAATGCAGATGACATTATTATTCCACAAATACAAAACATTGATAAGTTTAGTGGAATTCATAGTGGAAAAGCAGACAATATGATGTCGATGAGTCAAACCTAAAGAGGTGCCAAATTAAATTTATGCCAACTGTGACTGGGAAACAGCTAGGAAAGCAGGACTCAGTAATGACAAAACCCAACCCAGGTAATAGTGCTCTGCACTTGAAGGGTCAGAGGAGGGCAGGAGGAATGCAGAGGTGAAGTCGTCTTTGTTCTCCTTCCAAATGATTTAGATATCCAATTCCACACATCTAAGTGTTGCTCCTTGGAGTGCGAGGTTGAACCACCTGCCGGATGCTTTCCTGGTGGAGCCTATCTCCCCCACACCTGCACCCCCAAGATGCCTGCAAAACTCAATCTCCAGAGAGCCAAAGCCGGAGCCGGTCTTTCCATGCTGGTGGGACAGGGGTCAAGGTGCTCTGAGTGAGTTTCAAAGATCAGAGCTTGGACTCTAAAAAAACTAAGGCTGTCTAGACACTGGCAGGGTTCGCACATCGTGGCAAGCAACCCAGTGTTGTTTCCGTGGGGCATGGTTTTTTGCCTGGATGTGCTTGACAGACGATCAAGTGGTTTCTACACAAGTGTAGTTTCCACCTTCCTTGTTCAGCCCTCCTGCTCTTGGCATGTATCCCATCAGCCACTACACCTGGAATTCAATCCCATGCAGCAGCTGCCACACTTTCCAGGTGAGTCTGTGGCTGCTGCATATCAGAACCATGGTACGCAGGTTTAGATGCCTAGAAAAGCCATGATGAAGTGTGGAAACCACAGAAGACCAATGTTTCTTATTGTGGTTTCTAAAAAGCAAGCCTAATGTGCTGAAATGCCACATCGGGGTTTGGATGACATGACAGACCATCCTCTGCGATGATCCACCATGGATTGTCAGATCATGCCAACCCTCTCCCCATCTCAGAATGTAAGGGAAGGAGGCGGAGGCCTGCAAAACTCCACCTGCACAGAGCCACACCTGCAGCGGGTTGCGATGGAGGTGCGAGGGCCTTGGAGACTGGAATTCCAGCTGTGAGCAAGTTTCTGAGGTTGGAGTTAGGATTCTGAAAACTTATGGCTGTGCTCACACAACATGACAAGCACCTGTGCAGTCACCATGGTTTGGAGCTGTTGGTCATGATCTGCCTGATAGATAACCAAGTGGCTTCTACTAGGGTTTCCATCCTCCCCACTCAGGCCTCCTGCTATTAGCACGTATGCCATCAGCCAGTGAGCTTGACATTTGATCCCAAGGTGCATCACTTCCTGCCTGTGCCACATGCCTCCTTCTCATTGGATATATAGAGACTGGATGGCTGGAGAAGCTCCTGCAGTTTTCACTCTTTCCAGGGGACTCTATGGTAGTTGCTTACTATAATCTTGATCCTGGATTAAGGCAACCTGACAAGCCATGGTGGCACAGAGAAACCATAGAACAAACCATTGTTTCTTATTATATTTTCTAAAGACCAAATTTCACCCATCTAAACCCATAGTACAACTGGGTTCAGATGTCTCTATATTAGACCCATTAAAAAGAAACTGGACAGGCATCTGAGCGGGATGGTGTAAGGTGGTGTCCTGCAACGGCAGGGGGTTGGACTCAATGGCCTTCCTGGCCCAACTTTACTATTCTATGAGTCTATTCTATAATTCTGACACAACAGACCAACAATGCTAAAAAAAACCCCACCATGGCTTGTTGTGTTGTCTGAACACATTATCTAGTAGTTATAGGACTACACAGCAGAGCTTTTAAACTCATTGTTCTCCTTCTCTTCATTATTAAAAAAGAAAAATAAAGTTTTGCCCTACAACCAGTTCACCAATCAACTGTGCGGCCAAACCGCCCCCCCCCCCCCGTATGTTGTGTATTTTGTTGTGGCTTTCCAAGATTATCACAGCAGTTTGGGTGGCTCTGATGCAAAATTTTTGCTGTCAGGAGGAAAGTATCCCTGGTTCATCCCCGTTGCAGGATATTCAATCTTCCTTGAATTTCCCACCCCCTTGCAGGTATTTTGCCCCAGTGCACTCCAGGGACCCACACAGCTATTTGAAAGCTTGAGATCTGCGGGAGAGGCCCTTCTCTGGGAACCCTCCATGAAAGAAATCAGGAGGGTAGGTCCTCGGAGGAGGGCTTTCTCTGCGGTGGCGCCCAATCTATGGAATGCGCTCCCCAGAGAGGTCCACCTGGCGCCGTCGTTATTTGTTTTTCGGCGCCAAGCCAAGACCTTTTTATTTAAACGTCATTTTAATTGTTAACAATATTGGCTTATTTATCTGGCCAGGGTGACTTCTTTTATATTGTTATTTATTTTATATTGTTAATTTTATATTGCTATTTTTGTATTTTATTGTGTTGTAAGCCGCCCCGAGGCTTTGGCAAGGGGCGGCATAGAAATGTTTTAATAAATAAATAAATAAATAAATAAATAAATAAAGGTTATGGGTCTCAAGCAACTGAATTTATAGGATGGCAGCCTTAAAATGAACAAAGCTGATGCACAGACTGAAAAGTCAGCACTCAAACTGAGCTTAGCAGCATCCGGCCTTTTAAAACTGGCAAACACACCCAGCTTTGTAATCAAGCAGGTGGCCCTTAATTGGGTACAGGGAAGCCTTCAAGCTAACATGCATAGTCAAGCGAGCTGGCTACATTGTCCCCACCTTGTCCTGGGCTACCCCTGGTCACACTTGCTGGTTTTGCATCCCGATTCAGTCAATTTGAACGGAGATGGAAGCCAAGAAACTCGACTCAGACTTGGAAGGGCAGCAATGAAGGTCGTCCAGTGCAAGGACGGTTCACTGCAGGCCGAGGCCAAGATCATTCACACTGTTGTGTTCCCAATCACTATGTTTGGGTGTGGAAGCTGGACAGTGAAGAAAGCTGGCAGGAAGGAAATTGGTTTATTCAAAACTGGTGCTGGACAGCTTTGCAAACACCCTGGACTGACCGAAAAGTGAACGAGCAGGTTGTATATCACATCAAAGCAGAACTTTCCCTAGAGGCAAAAAATGACCAAATTGAGGCTGCTGTATTTTGGGCACATCACAAGATGGCAAGTCTCCCTGGAGAAGACCATCGTGTAGGGGAAAGTCAAAGGCGGAAGATCAGCCTTGAGTTTGTAAGAGCTGTGCCGGGCTGTCAAGGAAGCCCGTGGGGGCACTTATTCATAGGGTCGCCCTAACTCGAGACGACTTAACAGCACGTAACATCGACAGCCACCTGAGTGGGACGGTGTGACTTGGTGTCCTGCAACAGCAGGGGGTTGGACCCGATGGCCTCTTGGCCCCTTCCAGCAATACTGTTCCACGATTCTATGACAGCGATGTTGGTCTAAACACACATCGCCCCCGGCCTCGAAGGAGCCCGGGGGTGGTAGCGCCACACCTGCCAGGTGTAAGCTTCTCTGCAAACGGGTCACGTCCTCGCGTGCAGCCTCTCCCAGGTCCGCGCGCGCGCGGGCGGGAACGCGCTTGCGAGCGTGGAGCAGCGCCATCAGAAACCTCCCTCCTCGCCTGACCTGCCTGGCTCTCCTCGAGCGGACCCACCGATCGGTTCCACCCTCCCGGGAAAGGAGGGAGGGCCCGTGCCCTCCCGGGCTGCAGGCGCCGCCTGGCCCGCGCAACCGTGGGCGGATCGGGGGCCTGGGGTGCGTGTGCGCGCGCCCGCTCCTTTCTCCTCCCCCCTCCGAGAGGCAGGCGCTAGGATCGGCCCCGCAGGACAGGTGGGCGGGCCGGCAGCGGGCGGGCACGCGCGCGCGGGGAGGGGCAGGGCGTGCGCCCCGCGAGCAGCGCAAAAAGTTTGGCCGCCGCCAGCACGTGGCCGGCTCGTGGAGGCGGGAGGGCGGCGGGGGAGGGCCCGGGGTTCTTTTGACCCCGCTCCCGACACAATCGGAGCCTCACTGAGCGCAGGAGCCGCCGCCGCCAGACTCGCCATGGCTCCCGCGGAGATCCTCAGCGGAAAGACCGTGTCCGCGTAAGTTGCTCCGGCGCCTGCGGGGGGAGCTGCGGAAGAAGGCTGGCTGCGCGCGCCCCCGGGCTGGCGGCAGAGCGAAGGGAAGGGAAGGGAAGGCGACGCGGGACCGGCTGGTTTCCGCACGCAGGTCACCCCGGCGGGGCCTAAGGCGCCCCCGGCTTGCAGCCCGGCATGCATGGGGGCCGGGCACGTGCGGGCGCAAGGCTGTCGCCCCGCCGCTTTTCCAAAAGAGTCCGGGGCTCCAGGCGGCGCCCCGCTCAGCGGCGCCTTCTCCTCCGCTGGTTCTGACCCTTTTGGAGCCGCCCCGGTCTCTGGGTAAGGGTGGCGCTCCCGCTGCTCAACCAGAAAGCGCTCCTGGAACGACTTACCTGCACTGGGGAGAACGACATACCGAGCCCTCAGGGTTATGTTTTAAAAAGCCACGGCACACAAGAAAAGGAAAACGGGGAAGGAAGAGGAAAATAATGCATCTGCGGGAGACCTGGTGCCCCGGGGACACGCCCGGGCCTAGGAACTTGTGGAGTTCTGCTTTGACTAAGACTGGTACTTTCAAGGAAGCCGATGTGGGTTGGATTTAGCTCTTAGCCAAAATTGGACCACAGGGAAGTGCAGCCTAGATTCTGCACTTGAGGCACAGAAGGCTACCCGCCTTCTCTCAGGTCAGACTAACTCCAGTTAGCCCAGTATTGCCTCCTGAACTCGGGAAGTGGCTTTCCAAGATCTTGCAGAAGTAAAGGCTTTTTCCTGCCATGTGTTCTCCAAGCTGAAAGGTGCCGAATTTGGACTTCCTATATAAGAACCATGGAGCAGAGCAGCCTTCTCTGATCTTGTGCCCTCCAGATGTTAGGGATTGTGACATCTATCAGGCCTGGAGGATTTGTAGTCAACCCATCTAGAGGGTGCTGTTAGAACGTGGGAAAAGCCACTCTGGATCAGACCCACGGTCCATCCAGTCCAGCACTTCGTACACATGGTGGCAAGCCCACAGGATCCCCCAAGCAGGAAGGGTGCAAGGCCTCCCCCTGCCCAAGCTCCCCAGCAACAGCTGTATGCAGGCAGGCCACCTCTGGTCAAGGAGGGAGCCCATGGCCAGCAAGGCTAGCAGCCATGGAGAGCCCCCTCCCTCATCCACCTGCCCAAGCCCCTTTTAAAGCCATCCAGATTGGCAGCCATGACCATGTAACTATCTGCGATGTGAAGTCCTTCATTATATTTGTCCTAAACCTCCCACCATTCCAGCCTCATAGGATGACCAGTGAACATATCATGGGAGAGGGAGAAAAATGCCCCCCTCTACCTTCTCCACACCGTGCATTATTTGGAACACCTCTATCATGTCTCCCCTTGGCGGAGCGGGAACGAGCACCCCGATCTCCCAGGTCCCAATCCTGCAGTGTAATCACTACACCACTGGCTCACCATGCAGGGTTAGCTGCTTCTTACGCAATGGGGGATCAGTTGCTACGAGGAATCTGAAAACACGGCTTGCAAGTCCACTGGTGGTTGGTTACCAGGCCCTTAAATTTTCACACGCAGTAAATGCCTCTTATTGTACAGATGCTGGTGACTCCGCAGTGAAAGGCTGTTGTCATCAGGGGCTCCAGGGAGTCCCTCTGCAGCAGTAGGTGGCTCAGCATCATTTCCTGCCCTGGGGCTCCAAAGTTTCTCTGGACCCACCATTTCTTCCCACTTGCCACAAGGTATAAAGCACGAATGAGTGCAGCTCCTTCGGCCTGGGAGTCCCCTCCAGCCCTCTGGGGTTCTTGAGACAGCTGTCCTTGCCACCTCTGGCCCACAATGGGCCTGTCCTTGGGTTCTCCCAGCCTTTGAGCAGCCTCCACCCCATTCTTCAAGGATGAAGTGCCTCTCCTGAGCCGGTAAATGCTTTAAGCTAAAATATGCTGGTATGGGGTGTATTTTGGCTCCAGCTGCCCTCAGAATATGACATATAAAAGTTCTCTGAAATGGAAGTGGGCCCTCAGGGTGAAAAAGGTCCCGTAGTTTAAGGGCACAGGAGAGAAGGATGCCTGATGGGGTCTTGAAGCAGCAAGGTGGGTGCTTTCCCCCCACTGCAGCAGAAGCGGATCTGCACCTTTTAGCGGCTGCGTGACAGGCAGGATTTCGGCCGAAGTCTGCATCCTCATATTGGGAAGAGCTGTTGTGCTTCCTGCCTTTACTTAAAGCACAGAGCATTCATTGTAGGTGGGCCATGAACTGAGGCTGTCACAGGATTAGGGAATCATATGACTGGTCATTATTTTTAGTTTGCGGCACTGTAGTCTTTTAACTGTTCGGAGTCTGTCTAGAGAGCATTATTCATTGGGAGGATTAAATATAATAAATAATAATTAACTGATTTGTGGCTGTATGGGTTTGTGTATGACTAAATGAGAGCTTTGAAGGAAAAGGTCTTATTTTCAGAAGACGCGAGTGCATGTGTGTTTCACATGCTGTTGTAGAGAAGAGTGATGAAGGGATTGGAAATGGAAGCCGTGGTAAATTGGGAAGGATTGTGTGTTAATCCAAACCGCGGATTAACTGTTTAGGGCAGGGGTGGCCCCCAGTGCTTTGGACTTCAGCTGTTCTGACCATTGGCCTTTCTGAAGTCTAAAACTTCTGGGGACCTTCTGTCCACCACTGCATTACAGCACGGAAAATATTAGCATGAGGAACATGTGGTGCACCAACCGTTGGATGACCACTCCCATCAGCCAGCATAGCTGACGGTGTGGGATGATGGGAGTTGCAGTCCATCAGCATCTGGAAGGCTCCATCCTTTTGCTAGGAGATTTTTCCAAAGGTTTTGTGGAAAATACTTATCTTTGCCTTAAACTGTAATCCCGAACATGCTTTAAATATATTTATATTTATACCCTGCCTTTTTTCCTGCAAGGAACCTGGGTGAGCTTATTTAACCCTCCTCTTCTCCATTTTACCCTTACAAAACCCCTGTGGGGTAGGTTAGGCCGAGAGTCTGTGACCGGTCCAAAGTCACCCGGTGAGTTTTGTGTCTGGGTGGCGACCTGAACCCAGAACTCCCAGTTCCAGCCCAGCAGTAACCACTGCACTGCACTGGCTGCACCGAAGCCCTTGGAAGAGAGGGGGCACCCTGGGGGCAAGGCTTGTCCTGCTGAAGGCTTGTGTTTTCCAAGCTCTTGCTCAGCTGGACGACCGTTTCCCTCGTCTGTTCAGTGGAAGGATGCCCACCGGCCCTGCCTTTCTGGTCCACACCAGCTGTCCCACAAGCACTGCATTCCAGGTGTGACGGTTTGCTTTTTCTCTGCTCGGATGGTGTGAGCTGCCGGATGAAGGGCCAGCCAGCAGAGAGAAGAGCACCACCTTTTGCTTGGTCTCTGCTGGCTGTGACCTCCACACCTGGGCTGTTCCCAGCCAGCCAGCCAGCCACCTCTGGTTGCCTGCTTCCAGGATGGGATTTCCTCCCCACTGCCTGCAGTCCGGGAAGGAACGCTGCAGGGGTGGGCAAGCCCGCTGTTCTGACTCTGCACAGCTCCTGCAGGTCAGCGGTGTGGCTGCAGTTAGCCGGCTGCCATTGCCGCTGATGCTTCCCTGCAGGGTCCTCTCCGTCCCAAGACGTTTTGCCTGCTGCATCTCTGTGGACGAGATCTCATCTCGTCTTCTGCTCCAAGCTAGGCAAGTGTGGGTAATGCCAAGGGCCTGCAGTCCAGCAGGGCCCCTGGCGTTGCTTCTCCTCTACTGCATTGCAGCTCACTGGATCCCCAGCCTTTTGCTCTGGCCTGGACATCAGCACTGGTGAGAAAGAGGGCCAGGAGAGGCCATGGCCTGGCCTGCTTGCTCCCCAGGTCACCCCCCCCAGCAAGCAAGCAGGAACTGCGATGAGGAAGAGGCGCTGGAGCAGGAGCTGCAGATGATCCTGGTGGTTGGATGGTGGACTCACTGGAGGAGGGCCCATGACGGGTGTCTTGCCCAGCGGCCTTCAGGAAGTTGCAACCACAAATTGCAGTGGTCCACGGTTGTAGCCGTTGCTCTGTGTTGTGCTAGCACAGGACATGTGGCCTGGTGTCGGGACTGCATTTCCACGATGGAGGCCTGTGAATTCCATTCAGGCGCTATTGGAAACCTAGGAGTAGGCCCAAGCATGCCTAGGAAACCAGGATTAACAGTCAAGCCCGGCCCTACTCTTAGCCAAAGTGAAGCCTCAGGCAGCAGGTTAGCAAGTGACAGGAAAGAGGAGGAAATGGGTCGTTCTTCAATGTATATTTCTTTTTTTTTTTCCAGTGTAGTTGGTTTGTAATGTGAAGGGATAGCCAGAAGCAGGGCTGTGGAATCTACAATTCCTTAGAGTAGGGGAAAAGGATACCAGATGGGGAATATGTGTCTCAACAGAACTGAAAAGAGAAAAGACCTTGGAGTTACTGTGGCCACAGGCTGAATATGAGCCAACAATGCAATGCAGGCACCAAAAAGGCAAATGCTATTTTGGGATGCATTAACAGAAGAATTACTTCCGAATCACAAGAAGTGGTCGTTCCCCTATACTCCTCACTAGTCAGACCCCATCTAGAATACTGTGTCCAGTTCTGGGTACCAAAATTTAAGAAAATGCGGAAAAATTAGAAAGGATCCAGAGAAGGAAAGACTGAGAACTGGGCATGTTCAGCCTTGAGAAGAGAAGTCTGAGGGAGGACATGATATCCCTGTATAAGAACCTCAAAGGCTGTCTCAAGGAGGAAGGTCAAGATCTCTTTTTGCTGATACCAGAGTGTGGGACATGGAATAATCAAGTCAATTTGCAACAACCCAAGATTCAGGTTGGACATCAGGAAAAGCTTCCTCAAGAGCAATACGGCAGTGGAACCAGGTGCCCAGAGAGGTGGTGGCTCTCCCACACTTGTTGTTTATTTATTTATTATTTGCATTTATATACCACCCTAGTAGCCCAGAGGGCTCTCTGGGTGGTTTACAAACGTTAAAACCTACCAATCCTAAACAAATAAATTGGCTATACAAAAGCTGTATAA